TTGTTCATAATTCACATGGAAATGGCTACAGAACAGACATTCTCAAGGATCATACAATTTACATGTTCTTGTTATAAACATTTCCATGTGAATTATGAACAAAGTAAAATGTACGATCCTTGTGAAATCTATTCTGTAGACTGAAAGAAGAATACTGTTTATACTTTCAAGACACATAAATGGCTTTTAAATTGCATAATCTTGCATTTCAAAAGAAATGTAATAAAATGTAAAATATTCACAACATTTAAATTCATACCATTGTGGCATAAATTAATTTAGTATTTTATTTTATGTAACACTCAATTTAATAGTTTTACAGTTAAATTCTTACTAAAATTCATTGTATATTCTCATACAAAAGTTATAAGAAATATGGCACTTAATATAAAACTATTAATATCTATATCATCTTTGTTGAAATGTACATATACTAACACCTCAGCACAAGTTTACCTGTTGCAGGTTAGTGTATTTTGGTATTTCTTGAAGGTCAATTGATTTGTATGTAGCATATTCTAGAAAAACTTCCTTTACTTGTGATGATAATTTAGAAGGCATTGGAACCACCTAAAAATCAATATTCAAAATCAGAAAATAATTCAGATTTATAAAAAAAATTAATAAATCTTAACTTCAATAAAATAACAAAACTGCCCGATTTTCTTAAACAAAATGAGTAATCACCTCGAGAAATTCAATTTCCATCAAGAGGTGGTATTGTTCTATCATTCTTTGAGCTGTTACAAATAATTCATTATAATAATGTTTTTTATATCACCTACGTATTTTTACATCACATTTTTTCTTTATTAAAATCTTAGTTATTTAAAACTACACTGCTTGTAAATTTATTACATACAAGCAATTGACATCACAATATTTCAGTAATGTGGTTTTAGTTTTTATGTTCTAACTGTATCATTCAACATTTTCATTCACAATATTAACGTAACCTGAATCTGTAGGTGTGAAGATTTAAAATTTCTTTCAAAGAAAACCACAGATTTATTTCTGGACTTGTAGTACTTCTTCAGAGCTTCTTTGAACTTCTGTATCTCTTCAAGTGCTTCTTCTTCCAACATAACACTGGACTGATGATGACCAATGGGCAGTATAAGAACATGATCAGATGTTAGCCCACCCTTGGCTAAAGCAAGATAGTTCTATGTGCCAAAAAAGGAAAAGAAAACGAGACAATGAGAAAACCAACCCCTTTTGAATTTTCTATAATATAAAGATTATATTTTAACAGATCATATATTAAAATATTCAATATATTTCTTGAATTTACCTAAAAAACACAGTGCTTCTTATGCAGAATGTGTTCTTAGCTAACTAATTTTATAATATGTATGGTATTTTGAGTCAAAACACTATACATACACACTCCACCACTATTTGAAGCCTAAAGCCTAGTTTTATTCTTTCAATTTGCCCTTTCTAGGGTTACTGATAAGGGGTAGAATCCCCCAAAACAAGTAATAAATTAAATGATAGATTGGGTTATATATTTATTTTTTACCAATTTCATAATATTAACCCTCTTTATAAAGGCTCGGTCATTTTGACCAACTTTGTAAGCATGAAACTAACCATACCATAACTCTGAATATACTAAACAAAACTTCACAACATTTGGCAATCTTCTAACAAACAATCAAATCTTTTAATGAAATATTTCTACTAAAGATATGTCCATGAATTCACAAAGTTTTTTACAGAATTGGTATAAGTGAAAGGTAATTTTCATGCCAAGAATAAAAACACTACTTTGCATTTTAATTTTCGTATTTCATTTGCAAAGCCTCTAAAATCTCCTAAATGAATATCATAAGTGTTTTTAGTAAAACTTTATATTTTATTTGTAATTTTCTCTGTCCTAACACTAAATGTAGCAATATCAGCAATGTAGGGTAAAATGAAAACTTGAAAAATATTAAATAAATCCAGGTTACCCCCTTATATCTTTCTAGAATGAGTGCATTTTATAATAGAGAATTACAATTATTTATTCTTTTTTTCAAATCTGGTTTCATTTAATTTTATTGTTGTATAAATGTAAATAGACCATCTCAAAGTATATTAAAAGCTGTTTATCACAGTAGGACAGCATTGTGTAAGCAATCAACATAAACTTCATTTTACACAATCATGCCTCACACACTTCCTCAAGATGTGTATCCTATCACAAGTAATGTTTTTACATTTTAGTTACTTTTACAACAAATAAAAAGTATACATAGAAAAACAAGAAATTTAATTCTTAAAGTTCAAGTTTTTTTGCTGTTGGAATACAAAACATCACATGCCTACTTCTTTGCAACAATATTGGTGTCAAAAAATATTATAATTTTAAATATGAAATTTTGAACACAAAATATTATCACAAACAAAAGACAGAATGTCCTAAAACTATTATAATTTAACTGACTTTTTAACTAAGATAAAACTTCCATTAGCTGGTTCAGACAAACAATGAAACTTGGAACAGTTATTTCCAATCCTGGCATATGAACGAACTAGCCTCATAAAAAATTTACTTTAAAAAAATATTCTCCTTCTATTGGTTATAAATAATCCAATAGCAAATATCAGAGAAGATTATTAAAATTTTTTGAAAAACGAAAAGTACAAGTGGCTAAGCAATATCTATACTATGATATAGGAGTAAAAAAAAAATCTACACAAGACAATTTGAAGTGAAAAAGTGTTAATGATAGAGAAAAATGAAGACTACGAATTTAATTATTTCCTTTTGAAACTCAAAACATACCTAATATTAAAATACGAATTCTAAACTATGTTATGAAGAAAAGTACATTGATAATAAATTTGTTCAATTAAATTTTGAATATGACTCTGTAAAAAATGACATAACGTGCACTTTAACCCTTTTGATTCCAGTTAAAAACTTTTCTGAAATTCTTTGGTGAAGTTAGTTAAGCTCTAAACAAATGTTTTCATAATAAATATAACAATTCATCCTCAGAATAATAATTGAAGTATTGTTTATGGGGATAACAAAAAGCTACATCATAAGATTACGTTTATATATATATACATAAATGGTTTTGTGAGACAAGCCAAATGAAAATGAAAATTCGTACAGAGTGGTATGTACTGAGCAATAATGAAAAAAACATTCTTTCTTTGCTAATATTCATATCTGGAGTGCCTCAATGAAAAACATTTGTAAACATTTCATAAAAAAATATCTCAAACCAATTACTATTAAAACATCAAATTCAAAAATCACATATACACATAATACTCTTTATATTCCACGAATGAAAATGTATTTTATAATTAGTTTTTAAATGTAACATAAACAAGTTAAAACTTAAGGCTCCTGGCAAGATGGTGGTTGGTTAACAGGTTTACTCACATGGTCGCCCACACTGACAACCAAATGTTTTTCCACTTCAGAGCTCGACAGACAAAACCAACATGGACCCTGTGGCTGAACTATAAAAACAAGGAAATAAAGCATATCATAACCTAGTATTTCCAATCTTCAGTATTGATAAATCTGTTACGATTAAAAAATAAATAAACCACTACATTAGTGGATGTTTACTTTTTAGTAATGCCACTAAAGAGAGTGAGTGTATACTTAATAATGACTTGTGTTTAACGTTTTACATTTTTACCATACGTAATGAGTACTAATACTCCACATTTTGCAATTCTGCTTCAAAACCATGAGTGTACTTTTAATCTTCACTCAAATTCCACGTTTCAAATAATGCAATACAATATGCTGATTCATACTCATTGTTATGAAACTCCATTGCATTTACATAAGTTTTCTAATCTCATCATACAACACCAGGTGGAGTTCATCATTTCTCAACTCCAAAAAATAATCATATAAACATAAGTTTATGTTATCTGGAAAAAACAAAGACTAAAGTATTTTCTTGAAATGAATGCAAATAATTAATAAGAGAATATCATTGTTGTTCATAAAACACCTTTCATACAAGAGCTGTTCGGAGGGCAATGTTTTTTAAGAAAATATTGTGTTATTGTAAAGATACATTTTTAAGAACTATTTTTCAAGTACTGGTTTTCACTTAAATTAGGTCATGAAAACAAAACATATAATGAAAACTTTGTATCTCAAGTAAACAAAAAAACAGTGTTAATTAAGTGCTTATAAAAATTAATTTAAATTACTGTCATTAACTTGCTCATGGAAGACCAGCTTTGGTATTCAAACTGTTTTTAAATAAATAAAACATAATGGCAAAACATTTCTTAAGATACAATTTACACACATTTTCAGCTGGTACCAGGAAATAATGAATGATATTAAATAATTTCACTACTCATTACAAAACCTTACATTCTCCAATCATCTCATCAACATATCATTAAGGTAAATGCCTTCATACATGTCTGTCTTGGCTTCTTTGTTTTTTGATCTTCATTTCTTTCCCCTCGATGCCTTTTTTGACCAGCAGTTTCAGTCTCCAAGTCATAGAAGAACTGTTGTGTAGGCTAAGCACAGAAGATGAATTGTACCGAGAAGTATTTCTTAACATCATGAAACTAATATATGTAATAATTATTCTTTTCACAAACTCCCTAGATCAGATTCTTACTATTTTTTTTTTATATATCAAATTATGAGCTAACTTGCTATTCATTAATATTCCAATTCTGCTACCTTTGCAGAAATGATGATTACTTTATTATGAAGCAATAACTTAACATACCTTCTCTACAGTTTGCAGATCTTTCTTGTTGAACTTAAAAGGACACTCAGTCACATCTGATGGCTGCTTAACGAGGTCACTTTTATCCATAGCAGACATTGGTGTGATGGAGAATGCATATAACCACTGCAAAGAAGATCAAACTAGTTTTGTTTATTTAAACCCACACCTAACAGCTCATCTGTCATTAACCCAAATCAAAATGTTCATCGTGGCTGTTAAAAATAACACTACAAAGGAGAAATTTCTTATAAATATCTTCTAAAAACTTAATCCACTCATCTTATTCATATAAGTCACTGAGTTTACTAGCATGTATCTAAAGAATATTTCATACATGACAGAAGGTCCTGATGATGTAGTTTTCAATTCCTACATATTCCAGTTTTCATAATTTACTGAGGGAACCCAAATTCTAAAATACCTTTATGATAAGCAAACAGTCTTGATTAACTACCTGATTAAAACTTTCATCTCACCACAAATGGTAAGTGTATACTAAGTCTTTCGATCTCAATTGTTAAATAGAAACAGAGAAAGTATGTGTGTGGAGTTGGAAGCTTAACTAAACAAGTTAAAACGTCAATTATCAATTTATACTTGTGTGTGTGTGTGTCTGTGGAGATGGAAGCTTAATTAAACAAGTCAAAATATCAATTATCAATTTATACTTGTGTGTGTGTGTGTGTCTGTGGAGATGGAAGCTTAACTAAACAAGTAAAATACAATTATCAATTTATACTTGTGTGTGTGTCTGTGGAGATGGAAGCTTAACTAAACAAGTAAAAATATCAATTATCAATTTATACTTGTGTGTGTGTCTGTGGAGATGGAAGCTTAACTCTAAACAAGTAAAAATATCAATTATCAATTTATACTTGTGTGTGTGTCTGTGGAGATAGAAGCTTAACTAAACAAGTCAAAATGACAATTATCAATTTATACGTGTGTGTGTGTGTGTCTGTGGAGATTGAAGCTTAACTAAACAAGTCAAAATGACATTTATCAATTTATATTTGTGTGTGTGTATGGAGGCTTAACTAAACATGAAATACCAATCATGAATTTATATTTGTGTGTGTGTGACTAAAATTAATCATACAATTACCGAAACAAGCAATCTTTATGCTTTTTTCTTAATTCCTTCACTGTGATAATTTCTGATAATTTCATTATAATGTCAATGTTCAGACCCAATGTTATTATTTCACAACAGAATCCTTGGTTTTGTGACACGAGGTTCATTCATCTTTTAGTAGCACTCAGAAATCACTTTCTGTTCTCTAATTTATCTCTGCAAACTTTACAGGCTTCCAGTACTGAAATTTGAGATAAATCTTGGGGCTTCTATGACATTCAATTCTTTAAATTTTCGTGGGATGATGGTAATGGAAACCTCTTGTACAAGTGAAAGTTGTTTTATTGGTTTTCAAACTTGCATGGCTAAACACCTGGTTCAGGATATAGGGAAAGGAGGTTGGTATATTCTGTAGGTTCTACAGCTCATCACACACATAAAAATATCCTGTCGTATGCCCCACAAATTCCTATAATCAGAAATTCTTAGAAAACAAGACTGATGGCATAAAAAAAACAGTGTTTAGTTGAAACAGGAGATACAGAAAGTTGTCAGTGTCTGATCCACAATACAAACAATGATGGGGTATTTTATGTATGAACATTTTTAGTTTTGTATCAACTTCACTTGAAGCATTTTAGGGCATTTTTATACTATTTTCATATGCTTCAAGAAATGAGAAATATAATTTCATAAAACTCCATGCATGATATAAAATATATGCAATGTGAAGAAATGTTGGGCACATCTAAGCAATGCAAACGAGAAGTTACACAACAATGCCTGACCATGAAAGGAAATGTATATGCCAATTATAAACTAAGATGCATTCCAGGTGGTATTGAGAATCAACTGTTTACATTATCTATAGAGTGATGCCACAGTAGCAGAGAGAAAGCTATGAGAAATTTATATTAACTTCAGTAGAGACTTGACACAACTTCTATAAAAGGAATTAGCAAGGAAGTCAGAGACTGTGGGCAAAACTTTGATCTGAAGAGGACGAGGAGAAATACATGTAAACAGGCGGCCAATTTACCGTCTTCGATCCTAACCAACTGTTGAACTAGTTTTGGTTTTATTTCAGAGAATAACGAGTCAACAAAATTCATCCAATTAAGTGACCGATGTACTTGCAAGTTGGATGTGTACACTATTTAGAAAATCGTAAGAATGCTAAAGACATTGGTATAAAAACCCATGTCTTTGGGCTAAAAGTCAGTCTCCTGGCTCGTGTGAAGGATAACTGATGCTGCATGATTCAACTATATCCAAGCCCATAACAGCATTGAAAAATGTCTAACAATTCCCGCTCAAGCTCCGTATAAGTAACTATTGCTATCTCTCTCAGAGTCGAATAATGTAGTTAAAAATTGAATGTACAGTGTTTGATATTAAAGAATTAATGAAAGTTATGTCTGAACAGTTTTCAGTCAATGTGTTAATTGATAACTTACTGATAGCATTAAGTAATTTTATGGATATTAAAGAAAGTTTAACTGAAGTACAGTTACCTGCTCAAATTGTAGAATTTAATAGTTTTAACGTGAAACATTTCAAGATACCTTCAGGAATTATGATGTAGCTGAGTATCTTAATATATTGCATTAAAGTGTTGTTTGTGTTTTGAATCTCAGTCTCTGAGTCAATTCTTTATTCTAACTGTAAACTTGCTCGAGTTAGTGACTTGTGTACTCGCAACTGTAAACCAGGATTTTAAATAAATCTACTGTAAACTGGATTTTAAATAAATCTATTGTAAACCTGGATTTTAAATAAATCTATTGTAAAACTGGATTTTAAATAAATCTATTGTAAACTGGATTTTAAATAAATCTAAGGTAAACTGGATTTAAGATGAACTTCAAATGAGTAGCCCACATGGCAGTCCACATTTTTATGCACTTACACTTTCAAATACTGTCAGGAATAGTAAGATTCAAATCTAAGATACTGTATTATGTCTGTTGGTTTCAATATAAGAGAAATAAGACAAACCTTGTCCTTTTGTACATTGGCAACATTGGCTAAAGAAATAAAACGTGTAGGGTGATGTGCAAGTTCTGCCAGCACTTTATGATTTCTGTTAATGACAGAAAAAAACAACCTGATTAACACACTCACAGGAAAAGGTAAGCTAAACCAACCATTATTTTGTTTAAACATATTTAACAAGAGCTACATAACTATAACATAGGAAAAATTAAAGGCTAAAATTTTATGACAGGAATAAAAATCACATACTATTTTTTAACAACTCACTTTAAGATTCAAGAAAAGCACATTGATAAATCCATTTCAATTACTACTACACCTCGTAATCAGTCAAGAGGAAATGCCAAGAACATAATTTAAAGCTATATGCTAGAAACAGAGTAGAGTTTTAGTTGTTTCCTTAGTGCAAAACTACATAATATGATATCTGCACCCTGTCTCTGCAGAGAGTGAAATCCCGAATTTTAGCATTTTAAGTCCATAAACTTACCACTGACCTACCGAATAACAATAAAGTAAAGATTAAACAGTATTGTGGAACTTTTAATCAACCATAATTAAAATCAAGAAATGTCTATCCTTGGCATTACTTTCAAAATCAAATTTAATAATATTGGTTTCTTATTTTACTCATCTTGGGGTTTAATTTAAACAATAATTATTAATGAAAATTTATATAACCATCCATGCATTCATATTTATGTAGCAGCTAAACATTTTAACTGAGAAGTTTTAGTCAGTGTCTAATGGTAAGTTATGCTTACTTGTTTTTCTGAATGTGTAGTGCATACTAGAAAGATTTTAATATTCTGACAATAAAGTCTGTAAAAACCTTCAGTCTCCAAATAATAATAATAAACTTATTTCTGCCAATATTTTGCAATTGCAGCTTCATAAGGGCTTGTAGTACAAGAAATTGTATTATTAGCACTAATAAAGCCAGAGTGTCAAAATGTTGGTTGAAATATTTCCTAAAATTTTATTCAAATAACAATTTATACCTCCTTATTCATTCATGATGTTAGAAAAACACATAGGTTCAAGAAGTCTTGATAGAAATGAATAAAAATCCTATAACCCGAGAGCTTTCGAAAGGTGGACCTTTCTTCTTCAGGGGCAAACCAGAGAATAAAGGTACACCTTTCGAAAGTGCTCAGGTTATAGGGTTTTTATTCAATCCTCCTTATTCGATCATTAATATATCAAAAGAATTTGAAAAAAATTTCTTCAGCACTTTTTTTCACATCAATTATAATTAGGGCTTCTATTTTCCTTTGTGTTTATTTTTAGCTTTTTTAGAGTTTTATGTATATAGCCTTAAATCAATTTTTCCAGATTATTCACTTTTTATGTACTGATTATTTTTTGTTGTTTTTTCTCAAAATTCTTCTTTGCACATGGTCTACTTTTATTTTTATTACATGAATTATTATATGCATAAAAATTACATCCACATTCAATTAACTTTTGCTACCCCCTTGAAAGATGCAGTGCGTTTAAAAGCATTCAGAACAAATCAATGCCAGTTACAAATCAGGAAGGAGGAACATTACATAACTAACTGCACTAGGGAAAGGGTGAAGTTAATGTGAATTGATAATAACTTCCAGTGTTTTTTTTTTGGTTGTTTAATGGTTATACACCAACTTCTTTCTTCTCTCACCCTTTTTTTGTTTTTATTATCAGGGTGTTTAATCTGTGTTTATCAGTAAAAACCAAAAATCAGAAACCCTAGATATAATTTTACTGTACAATAAAATGCAGTAAAAGCAGTTAATGTGACACGATTTATTTTAAAATTTTATTCTTAATATGATATTCAAGCTTTATATCATTCCCAATAAATAAAAATGGTCCAAAACACAAGTTTCTCTCCTGACACACAAGTTACCTGTAAGGCAATCTTTCATAATAAATTCCATGTAAACCAGCAAAATGGTAACGTGGCTTGACATAAAAGGCAAGCTGGGCGACAAGTTCAGATCCCACATCTTTTAAATCAAGGCCTTTCTAAAAGAAATTTAGAATTAAAGCAAAATTGTTTTCTTTGAAAATAGAAAACTTAATAATAAAAAAAATTTAATAATTATGGAATGCTAGTTACAAAATTTATTTCCTAAAACCATTTTCAAGTTTTAGTTACAGAATTTTCTGAAATGCTTACCTGTCATAATTCTAGTAAAACTTAATTAATATCTTGTAGTTACTCTGTTTCTAACATTATTAGTATTCCAAAATTTCACAGTCCATTCCATCCTGAGTTAACTTTCAATGATTAAGTACTCATGCTGCACAAGTTTCTCACTGCAAAGTTCCACATCAATGTTTACTAATTCTTACACATTCTAGAATAGCAACTATGTATTAAGAAAGACCAAAGAAATAAATAACTAGCAGAAATAAATTACCAATATATTAATGTAAAATCGGTTTCTTTCTAATTAGTGATTTACTTTATATTTTCCCTATGTTATTCAAATGAGTTTTTTTTGGTTTTGTTTTTACCATGCATGTTTGCTTAATATATTACATGTATCTATTATAACACACTAGGTGATTCCCCTGGAAGCTAACAACTTAAAATACACATTTCAAGCTAAAAATTACTTTGAAATTATTTTTGAGAATTAACCAGTAGTAATTTGATTTGACAAACTAATTATGAAGTCAAGCAAAAACCATATTGTATAAAAATTAGTGAAAAAACACCATGAAACTACAATATTTACTTCTTGAGTAGGAAAGTTAAAATATGACAAAATATATCTTAGAACTTTCCAAGTACCTTAAAATTTGAGTTAAAATTTTCGAAGTAAAAAAGAATTAATCATGTTAATTCATACATAATCTCTTTACACAGCTACATGGACATTATGATTTTGATCTGTTACATAGTGGGGTGAATTTCTTAGAAGTGACAGAATTCCCCACGCACACCCAAGTCGGCTAATCATCACTAATTTATAAACCCCTAAGTATATGTCCAAATCTCTATGTTAGTTCAAGTCATTGCAAAGAAGGGAAAAAAAGTTAAGAAACACTTAATTCATTATTATTTTCCAAATAGAGTCATTACCAAAGGAAAAAATATATATATATAGACTTAATATACTGGAAGCAATTATTTTATGGCTGGGATCCACATGGACTCCATGGAAAGACTTTAGGTTTGATAATTTTATTACAGACATCAGAAAAAGTATAGTAGATATACTACTGGAACAACAACAACAAAAACCTGATATAAAAGTTTTAAGATATTCTATATGTTGATACATCTCCTTTCATTACAAAAATAAGTGATGAACTTTACACTTTAACCTGGATAATTTACCTGTTTGTGATTTACTGTATGCTAGACCTTTTTCTTCAATATATCAATCTTTAAATAAAAACTAGTATGTTCGTGGTTACCATTTCCACATAATTGTAAAGTTCTTGCTCAGGTAAAACCAAAAATCAGAAACCCTTGGCAAATGAATTAACAACAACTTAAAAAACAATTCACGACATGTTACCTTTGGAAATTAGCTCTTGAAAAAAAAATGGCACTTACTGGGGATCCTACATAATGTGTAATTCCTTTAGGCCATTCTGAGGTCAGCAAGATGTCAACACCTTTCTCATTGCCCTTACTAACTGGAATGTGAACAGATTCAACATCTTGTTCATTAAACTCACAAGCCTTTTGTAACTCTCGTTTCCCTGAGCTCTCTATACCACTTAGGTAAGCTACTTTTAGTCCCGAGCTTCCTGTTAAGATGCCTTTCTTTCCTGATGAGTATCAAGGAAAGAACTTTAAGAAAAAGAAAACATTTGCCAGCTTTAACTAGCACATTTCATTTAAAATTAAAATACTTTGGTCTTCTGGTAACCAGTTTCAATAAAGATACTAGAAGTAATATAAAACTTATAGCAAAAACCAACTGCAGTTTAACAAACAAGCGGAACTATCCTCATCAATAAAACATAACTTTAATCCAGAATGGCAAAATTACTACATGTAAACACACAAAAAAATAATAGAGAGAGAAAGAACTACATGTATATACACTATTGTGAAACAGACCAAAATCCAACAATTAAAATGTCCCGTGTTTCTTTTATCATAATCTTTAGTTAACATATACATTTAGTACGAGTATTATGCCTACTAAACATTACTCTGTTTTGCTTGTGTTCCACTGATAATCCTTTTTCAGGATATTTCAGAAAACAACCTGATGCAGTAAAAAAAACCTTATACCTATTTTTTCACAACAGTGTCATGTAGACTGATGAACAAGGTCTTTTTTGTGGTTGACTCTAACCTTTATTTAGTATTAGTTTTATATCTGTTTAACACTCTTATGCCAAGAGTTCTCAACCAGTAGATCATGCCTACAAGGGGTATTAAATTTTCTGAAGGTGAGGGAGGGAGCCATGACAGCACTACTAGCCAGACTTCAAATGTCCCAACAGCTTGTATCATCAGCACACTTTGTTTATACATAATATGATGCTGGATTTCAGCTAAAGTACTTCTATGAACAAGTTGTCTGACTTTACTTGTACAAACATAACAAAAAAACATTACTTAGTTATGATCTTACCAAGTGTACGTGTGTTTGAGGAGAGTTGTACAAATTTACATATCAAGTAAGACTTAACATAAGAAAGGTTGAGAACCCATTTTACAGACTGCTAGTTTTTCAAATCTACCTGATACTGCCAGAACTTTGTAAATATTTGTTTCTTTCTAAATATTATTCTTTTTATTATTAGTTTTTATTCTGATAAATTACTGAACAAACAGCTTAAATTTAACTTTTTTTTGTCAGTTCAATAATACTTAGCTGTTAATAGTTCTATAAATGTAAATAAAATCACAACCCGTATCTCCAGAATGTAACTTTATTAGCTCAATATTTCACTATTACAGCTTCATTAGGATATTGATAGCTCCTGATGAAGCTGTAATAGCAAAATATTGAGCTAATAAAGTTACATTCTGGAGATATTGGTCGTGATTTTATTTACGTTGATAGATATGTCTCATAATAGACTCCAGTTTGTGTTAATCAAAGTCAAAAATGCTGATAGTTCTGTTTGTGGATTAAAGTGAAAACAAAACTACACAAAAGCACTGAAAGTGATGACAGAATGGGTTAGGTATCTCATATTGTTAGTTTATGATTTACCTTTTACAGTACTTGTGACAACACTATTGAAACAAGCAGAAAATGACAACGATTAGAGCACCAAGAGTACTGTTCTCCTGTGATTTGCAACTGCTGATCAACAGATCAGTGCCACTATACAGAATTGGTGAACAAAATATTATAACAATGATAATTAAAAGAATTTACGATTCTTTCTGAATAAAATATTAATATTAGTAAAATTCTAACAAGTTTTTACAACCCTACGTATGACTACCTATTTCCACAAGCTTCCTATTAATAGGTCACATACTGCAACACAGGAATACATACTCTTAGTAATCCAAAAGCTTTTTACAAAGATTTTGCTGATCTGTAGAATGAAATAGGTTACAAACCATAATACAATGAAATGAGCTCCATGTTAAATAACTAACATTCAGAATAACTGTAATTTTAAAGAAAACTGGCTTAAGAGCTTTCCAACCAATTCAATTTTTTATGCTTAAAGCCTTATCTGAAACATATCCCAATACGCCATGGCTCGACTAAAGTAGTGACACTGAAAATATGAATTTGGAAATAGACTTTAATTTAAAAATGAACAAAGACATAAATTAGTTAAATTTAAGATACTGCAAATATTTCTATAAATAAAACTTTAGGTTAATGTGGACTTTTTTGCAAGTCATGATCACCAGCTGAAGAAACAAACATAATTTATGGTAACCCTCAAACTTCTAAACAAAATACAATTTTAAATTAATTGAATTCCAAATTATACCTAAGTATGTGATGTTATAACACAATTCACACCCATCTCGTGCTGGAAACAATGTTTCATATTCAGATTTTGCTGGACCCAGAATGTACGTGGTGATCGGAGCTAATAAGAAATAAAAAAAAACATCATTTAAAGTAGAAGTACTGTTCCTTTGTTACAATCTCTTGTTTATTTTCATAAAAACAGAAGGGTTGAGGGCAATCTTTCTGAAGTATTTGAAATTATTAGGAACTGATAAGAAAGATGCATCATTTTTTTGTTCAATTCTGAAATCTGAAAAGGTCAGACACATCTCTTTATGTAGTAGTTTTAATTCTTCAATCGAGTGGAAAATCAGTGAAACAAAATTCCAGCTAGTGTTAGAGGCTATAATTTTACAGGAGTTTCAGAAAAGGGTTGACGAACATATGGAGTATCGGTACTGGACTTAGTAATGAGTTTTTTGAGAGAGGTTGGGAGTCAGGACATCCTTGATTGATCAAAAGGCTTCTTGATGTCCCACATTTATGTAACTTAATTAGAATAAAGAGATTTGTTGCAAATATCCAATAACTTTACCTGCTTCCACTTTGAAATGTTATTAATCATATTAATACATAGTCATCTGGGTTGCATTAGTGAAAACATTTTGTCATAATGAGCTATTACAATCTTCAAAAATTATGTATTTCAGACAGAACGAAAATTACAAATTCCAACTTGTTTTAATAAGCATTAAGAAAGGTTATCCATTGAATTTCAGAACTGTGGTGAGATACCCTTAGTTTGAAGGTTCAGCTATGAACTTTTTAAAACAAATGAGGGTGTTATTACGTGATAATTACAAGTTTCAGTAGGCACCTTTAGTTAAACAATCAGACTGACTGCTGTTTGTTTTCAAAGGTGCAACAAGTCACAGATCATGATTAATTATTGATAACCTTATAAACAATATGCTTGATAATATGATTAAAGTCAAGTTTCTTTTGACTGCAAACTGTATAAGTATGAAGACCGGCCTAATCACGTGATCAATTAACAAGCCACCAGCTACTCACCTTCGAATATGCAAATCAAACTGATAGCATACTCTCATTCCATTGACAGTTGTGTGACTGAAGTCTACACACAAACAAGAAACCATGTGACATCCATGAATTCAGTTATTACTTACATGGGTCAAGCCAATTCGTAGAGCATACTACATAAACATATCAAAATGTAAACGTGTTTGACATAAGCAATTATTCTTAAAGTCAGTAACAACACTAGAATACTAAAATTTATCCATTTTTTTACTTTTTTCTACATTACTGAACCAAAATTTCTGTGCAAGAGTACTCACATGATGTAATTTTTGTTAGTGAACTTGAAAACCTGTACATGAAATACTTGAGGGGTAAAAATAATTAAAAACCCTGATTAGGAAAAATTAAATATGTGAGTTAATATATATATATATATATATATATATCCATGTAAATATGTTGACTGCAGTCTCTTGACGTATTTCAGAATCATCTTACAAACTCTAGTGGAACCAAAGTTGTATATATATACGAAAAATACTTGTGTCCGAAAATGAATTTATATTTATTCTGTTCTAAACTTTTGCAACTCCTCCTTGACATAATTAGCCATTGGACTTTGGATTATTTGTATTTATATTGATATCAAACCAATAATAAATGCTAGGAATTTCTATTAACTCAGAAATAACTTGCGTAGTATACATGGGAACTACCATATCCAATGCCATCTCTGTGCCTCTTCAACATCCACTGGATATCAAAATTTAAAAACAAAAAGAGAGTGAAAGACAAGAAAGAGTGAGAAAGAAAATTTTTTCAAGTTACAAGTTATTAGAACACTAGAATAGTAAAACCTTTTTAATTCTAAACTAAATTTGTGGGATACATTGAAAGAGATGGCTAAAACAAAGAACTAGGTTCTATTCCATCTGTGTTCTGTACGTAAAGTACACTCTATTCTATAATTTTACTTTCACTAACAACATTTAATAGAATATTTAAATATCATTTATTGTTATTTTTTATTATTATGTTTTTTAACATGCAGATTATTCTGCATTTTTCAGTTAGAATATGAATTTACGACTAACCTAAATCTCCAAGGCTGGATGAACCTCATGACGTATTTTTGAGTTTCCAGCCCAAAAATATCACTAACAAAAATGGTACCCAACTGATGAAACAATGCATTCTAATCTTTATAAATAAAAAGAGTATATCTTATAAGTTACATTCATTACCAAGTTGATTTTTGTTTTGATCTAACTATATAGCATCCTCTAATTGGAGGTTAATATTAAAAATGTGCATAAATAAGAAAAACATTCATTCCAGTTTCAATCCATCCAACAACAGACTTAAAACTTAATTTTACCCACCTTTCTTAGTTCCATTTAAGTACTCATCCCACTCTGTATTATCCTCTCCAAAGAAGTTTCCAACACAAAGTAACATCTATACAAACACACAACAAAATGTGTTACATGTAAAGAAAACAACTGTCAATAAGTTTCCTTTGAAGCTAATAAAACAAATTAACTTTTGTAAACTAAAAAACTGTTTCCACATATTATTATATTCTATCTGTTTTGATTTTTTTTTGCACAAGTTATATCCCACAGACTAAGTTTCCAACACAAAGTAACATCTGTAAAAACATACCAAAAATTGTATTAAACATTTAGAAAACAGTTAAACTTTAAGCTAAGAGAAGTAATTATCTTTTGTAAGCTAAACGTTTTTCCACATTATGTTATTTCCTGTCAGTTTTGAATTATTTTTGTACAAATTATAACTTCCACACTAGGCTTCAAACACAAAGTTCTACTAGTGATCAATATGACAATACTTAAGGTGATTAAGTTAAAGTGAAACTGTTATAAATTTACTTTTCTAAATCCCTGGATGTCATAGGGCAGTGGTTCTCAACCTTTTGGAATCCATGGAACCCTTCACAGCATTCATTACAAAAAACATTACTGCAATACTATATCAATAATTCCAGACATAGTACATATGTTTAATTCAGTTATATATCCACACACATACATGCAAAGCATGAAAAATTTCTATCTCGCTCACTATTTTAAAACAATGCAGTGACTTATGTTGTGTCATTATGAAACCACCTATACTAATAGAGAAATATGATGTAGTCAGATTGCAATTGTGTGACTAGTACGTAATTACACATTAGAATATGTGGATGTCTGTCGATGAACCCCCCCCTATTGTTCCACGGAAACCTGGTTGGGAAGCAGATGACATAGGACACTGCTGAAAAAAATATGGAAATTAATTTTCCATTTTATTTTATCAGTTTAAGGTCAGTGACTTGAGCTTTAACAAGAGGTTAAGCTAAACACTAATATGTAATTATGAATTCAAAATTGAAATACCTCAAATGGACCATTTTTCTTATTGACTGCAGAAACCCTTGAAAAAAGCTGTGAAAACTTTCCTTCAACGTCTCCACTTACAAGGCTGTAAAAACAAACAAGAGTTGATGGTTTACATTATCTCATACAAAAGTTAAAATGCTTAGAAACATGTCTAGCTTCAACATCAGCAAAAATGTACAAAATATAACACACACAATATAAAAACTTTTGAGCAAAAGAAGTGTATAACAATACATCAACCATGGTATATCTGCTATATCTAGTGTTGAAGAGGCCTTTTGCCAAATATCAGGACTCTTCATGTCAGCTAGGATACAACAATTACAGGAGTGGTAGAGATGCTATTTAAGTTACCAAATAGCTTGAACAACAAAGTTAACAGCAAAAATAAAAGGTATATTAAGGTAAAACTTAAAAATGCTCACATTTTTAGCCTCATAACAGACAGAAAAAATCTTTATATCACAGAAACATCAAATATCATAGTAAAAAAACTGGAAAACAAGTTGTAATTTGGAAGACAGAAAAAAAAAAGATAAATGATGAAAGACTCGGATTAAATTAATTGGCTAGAAAGAAAAAAACAAAAGCAAGAATGGATACAAAAATTAAAGAGCTACCTTTAGCACCAGTTATATTAAAATTCCAAAGTAAAGATTTTTAATTAAACAGTAGAACAAACATTTTCCTTGTCGTTAGTGGCACAATAGAAAAGTTATTCTCATTTTAGTAATATCTATCCTGATGCAATGGCCCTAGACCATAAAAATTAGTTTATAAACCATTTAGCAATCACATTTATCTATTTATTAATGTCCTTTTATACAAGTAAACACCATGCCTTATGGCTCAGAGATAACTGCTGTCTTCAATAAGTAAACTGAAGCTATATCTTTCTCTCCTACACTAATATGTGAGGTTACAACTTAAGACTCCCCTGGTAGATCTGATACTGACATTAAAATAGATTTGAATCTATAACTTAATGCTGCTATATAAATATCATGAAAAATGCAAAAGTAAAAGAAGTTGTAACTTTATCAATAGACAATATATATTATAATTTACATACACTGAGTCTTTATGCATATGATGATTTTTCACTAGAAATAATAACATGTTTGCTTAACGTTAATACTGAACAAATTCTCATAAAACTACTTCTTCCTAATTTAAAATGTAAGTATCACTTACTGTGTGTTGGACTTAGTATGAAGTAGCAACTACACTGAGTGGTCACAAGTAAATAGACAACTAATTTTTCGTCATTTAACTGATTTATGCTAACTAATTTGTGTTCACGGAGCACTATATAAATGTTGGCAACATACATTTTGCGAAATACGTCGAAATATTGGAGGAAGGACTCTTGCCACTTCAACGAACTCCACGAAGCGAAAGGAAGATCTACTAGATATTAATTAGATTATAAACATATCAATTCATATGAATATGACTGAAAATTTTCATTTTTTCTGAAAAGGTGGTGTCTATTTACTTGTGACCACACTGTGTATATACACCAGGCCTCGACAAAAACTCAAGCCAGGTGTGCCTAACCTAACTTCACTACTGTTTGTACCAGAAAATGGGGGCTACCTATATTTATTTACTTTCACAGCAATGAGTGCATGATAACGATTATGACATCACAACCACTTGATGGTATTGACTGAACTAACTGCCTTTGGTCCCATCTGAGTCTAAATGCACACACTGACTGGTTGAATTGAGAGAAAGAAGAAAAACCAAATGGCATGAAAATAGCAATGTGTTGTGTATCTGCAGCACTTCATTCCTGAAAAAAACATGAAGTGCTGAATCTGCCATTCAAATCACAGGAAAAGTTTGATTTAGGACTCAAAGAACACAGAAATAGCTCCGGACTTCCAAGAGTCCAGAACTGTTCTAGATTCACAAATAAAATGGGAGAAAATAATGGATGCCATAATGAAATTTTTAGTTGCCATGGCGACCTGACACCCGTGATTTGTCATGGCCTAATATACACAAGTTATGCACTTACTGTTCAAAAGGCTATATACACGAAGGATGTCCAATGTCTGTGGTTATATACACACACAGATACATCAACTGCTTGTGTGTTAGTAAATACGTATGTTTCAAAGCACATAACAATGAGAGGTTGGTAGTGTAAAAGGCAAAAGCACTAATTTCATAGTCTCAGGACTGGGCATCCAAAACTAACCCACCACAACTGATTTTCTTATCTTCAGCATTCATTTCTTTCTAACATGTTTCTTTTATGAGATGAAAACTTGTTGAAATTCTTTTTTTAACACGAGTAAAAATAAGAAAACATTAATTGCTGTCAACTTTTGCCTGATTCTGCAAAGAATGGCAGAGATGGTGATGGTCCATTACTCTGAAAGCCCTATAGTCCAAAGATATAAGATTTTTGTTTATAATAGTTAAAATGTTAAACTGATTGTTTGGTTACATCTGTGAACTTTTATGATAAAAACATCCCAGGATACGACCTAAAAGGTTGCAATTTCTCTTGTATGGATGGATAATGTTTATTATAGTTTCTTGGATGTTATTTTATTGTATGCATGTATAGTGTTAGCTGCAGAGCCTACATATTTACACATCAGGATTATATTCAGGAATCTAACTCTTCTGAGTGAATGGATATTCAAGATTCTTATTCCATAGTGCTGTGACAATAAACGTTGTATCCCAAACTCATTGAATATGTCGAAAGCTTCCAGTCAGTAAAATCATCTTGATTTAAATATTTCTGTTGTTTGTACTTAAAATGACATCAAATAATCAAGGGCCACTGGTCCCCCGATCCTCTGGCAAGATGTACCCTTTAAACTTTTCCTTTTAAATTTCATTCATATATAATGGACCTATGATTTTATAATTCATTCATTTTTGACTTATATTGCAAAAACCAAAAATCTCAATTGGACTTTCAGACTCTTGGGCCTTTGGAAAACTGGGCAGTCACCACAGAAATAGGCACAGTACATTTTTTACACATTTATTCTTTTTTACATCTAGGTTAGAATAGGTCAGATTATGTTAGTTTGGTTATGATAGGGTAGATAAAGTAATTATATAGCTCACCTAGCTGCAACTAGTAATATGTGATATTTCAAGATAGTCATGCATACAGTCAAAACTGCTAACTGCTTTTATAATATTAACAGTCATGTATTTATGTCAATGGATAAAATTCAGTGTCAGTGAGTTTTTTATGGCGACCATGATTATACACAGTACAATGGACACAGTTGTGTGTGTGTGTGTGTGTGTGTGTGTATAAGCACATAGTTCATTGGAAATTTTCAAACTAGTAACATGCAGAATTCTAAAACTAAAAAGGTCGTGTACATATTCAAAATTACAGATTAGCCAGACGCAGTCATGCAGTTGTTTTCATTTTGTTTTATTTTTTAAATGCAAACACAACGATCGCGTATATAAAATTTTTATCTACAGCTTTAGCCTTAGTAATAGTAACAATACTAAAGAGTAAGGTACTATTATCAGTAGTACTATTAGTAGTAACTACGATGCAACAGGCTTAACTTCGTGTAAATCACAACTATTACTAATACTAAATATAATTACCTTTGTAAATCGTAATGCCTAGATCTAAGGTACACTGTAGGACTAGTTTTACGTCATAAGAGATTATTTTAAAACTTATGAAGTAGCGTAATAGTAATAGTACAACTACTTTTCTAGATAACCTACATTAACTTGATTAACATAACAAATAAACACAAATAAGTTATATTATTATTAAACTCGGACTAAAGTTAGGCTTAAGCTATAAATTCAATAACTTGTATGATTACATTTTCAGAGCTGATGATGATGAAGACGACATAGTTATATTACACTTTCACACACACTGGCTAAATAACGAAACTTCACCATTATTATCATCTGTAATAACGATAAACTTTTACGAAGGTACAAATCCCATTTTACTATTTTTAGGCTTACACCACACTTAGCGACTCATTCACAATAAACACATGACGACGAATGACCGCCAAGGTTTGGATTTTAAAAAACCTGAAACTGTTGAAAAGACTAAGTTTTTCGAACGAAATGTCATAAAATATTACTCGTTGCCTTATTAATCCCATGAAGACAGAATATCAAGTACAAAATGTGAGTATAACAATTAAAACGACAAAATCATATTTAATATGAAATATTTAGTGGGACTTCTCATTCTAAATGCATTAGAGTAATTTTTACTCGCGGAGAAGATGATTTTAAGAACTTATGAAGTCGATAAAAATTAATCGAGACAAAAAAATGGCATCAACTCTAAGTTATTGTGTAATTAATAATACGGTTACTAAAATTAATAGATATAACAAACTTAAAAAAACAGAGTTACAATTTATTTCCTAATTTAACAATACAATTGTTTTGTACTAAGAATTATTGTTGGAACCTTTTTGTAATAGTAAGGAAATTAAAATTTATTAATATTATCTTGAAATTGAATCATGTGTTTAAAATCTGTGGTTGCCTTTCATGTGCATATGTTAATTGGACATTTAACTTTTTTACATACATTCATTTATACATCAATAACTTTAAGTGTCTTTGTGACTATACTATAAGTTTAGTTTATGTGTTTCTTTACTATTCTCCTTAGGCCAGATGATGGGATTTGGCCGTCACTCGATCTTATAACGCACCCATGGTCGAAAAGTTTGGCCGTGATTTGTTTCTTGGTTAGAGCCACAAGAAGCTAACAACGGAACCTCAGCTCCACATTTTAAAATTTAATCAAATAATTAAATGCTTTTATATCAACGAGAGAGTCTTGGTAGTTAAAAAGTAATTATACTGTTACGTCTCCGTTTGTTAATTGATTTTTC